ACTCGTGTTTGTGTGTTGATGATATTGGTAATATTTTCCTTGAGTTTATTGTACATGTGTGTGTATGTGTATCATTGCGTGTGTGTATTGATGATGATACTAAGGTTATAAATACGTTATATTATGTCATAAAGATGGAATTCATGCAGTTACTTTAATTCGTTTTTCCTTTTTTTCTCTCTCTTTTTTTAGTATTAAGGAACTAGTTTTTTCTTTACGCAGAATTAAATTTATGACTGGCAATAATTCATGGTTGATTTCCTTTTTAATTTATCTAACGTTTCCAAATAAAACTAAAGAGCAAAATGTTCCATACGCGCAGTGTAGACTTATTAAGGAATCACGTCATCATATTGACATGATATTGCCGTCTGGATCGAGTTACATATAACTTAAACACACTGGAAGAAACTCATCAAAACCTAATGCAAAAGTTTCCCCTCCAATTTGACAGAAAAAAGATGTTATATTCCAACTCTTTTCAAACTCAAAGTAAAAAAAAAGTCTCATTCAGAAAGGGGAAAATACGTTATACTTTTGTTTCATTTTTTTTTTTTTTTTTTTTTTTTTTTTTTTTACGGAACAATTATACTGATAAAAAAAATGTTATGACTGAAATGGAAGGAAAGTTTAGGATATTGTTCTGTTATATTGTCCAGGTTTCACAGAATACTTATGGAGAATACTGTTATAGACAGAAAATAGGCCTACACTTTTTTTTTTACGCTTCAGTAAATTGCCATAAAGATAAAAAGGTCTTTCCCTTAAAGCTTCAGTGAGCAATCATGTCTAACATAACGATACGTATTAAGAAAAAGAAATACAGACTTACATTATCAACGTCTCCTAAAAAGAGGAAAAAGCAGAGAGGTTTAAAAAAAACCCGCGCTTTTGTGCCACGCTTTTTCGAAATGGCGAGCCGTTAACGGTCATTAACAGTTCGCATAAATCGTTTCCTGTAAATTAAGTCTCATTCTGTTTCGTTGACATATAGTTAGCGTTTCTACTTAAGTTCCCTGTTTTTTTTCTGCTGTCACTCTCCCTTTGTCTCATTCTCTCTCGTTACTCCCTATCATCTGTTCTGTTTCTTTTTGTGTGAACATAATTCTCTCTGTGCCTTTGTTTCGTCCTTTTTCTTTCTCTCTCTCTCTCTCTCTCTCTCGGTCTTTCTCTCTGTGTCAGTAAGTCAGTAGCCTCTCTCTCTCTCTCTCTCTCTCTCTCTCTCTCTCTCTCTCTCTCTCTCTCTCTCTCTCTCTCTCTCTCTCTCTCTCTCTCTCTCTCTCTCTCTCTCTCTCCCTCCACTCATCCCTCTCTCTCTCTCTCTCTCTCTCTCTCTCTCTCTCTCTCTCTCCTCTCTCTCTCTCCTCTCTCTCTCTCTCTCTCCCTCCCTCCCTCCCTCCCTCCCTCCCTCCCTCCCTCTCTCTCTCTCTCTCAAACACACACGCACTCTTCTCTCCCATCATAAGTCCTCCGCGCCCTCGGAGTGCCCCTCGAAATCCTACAAAATCCTTCAAAATCCTGCGAAAATCCTCCTCATTGTCTGGCGAGGTCCACCACCGTCACCACAGTCATTATCCTTCGCATGTCATTCCTCAGTCGCGCCGCTGGTGACGCAATCCTCTCTTGACACTTGGCGGCGGCGGCAGGGGAGAGAGGTGGGAGGGGCGGGGAGGGGGGAGAGGGGGGAAGGGCGGGAGAAGAGGGTGGGGGTGGGGGGCGGGGCGGGGAGAAGAGGTTAGGGGATGGGGGTGGGCGTGGTGTGGGGGGTGGGAGAGGAAGAGGGGTACAAATTGGAGGTGGAGGGAAGGGAAGGGAAGGGGAGTGGGGGTGGAGGGGGAAGGGAAGGGGAGTGGGGGTTGGGGTGGAAGGGAAGGGGAGGGGGAGTTGGGGAAGGGTAGGGATGGGGTGAAGGGGTGGGAAGGTGGGTGGAGTGGTGGTGAAGGGGGGGGGGTGAGGGATGGGGTTCAAGAAGGGGTTAGGGTTGAAGTGGGCGGAACAGGGGTGGGGTTGGAGGGGACGGAGGAGGAGAAAGGGGGTGGAGGAGATAGCGTTGGTGTGGGCGGGGGAGAGGGAGGGGAAGGGGGAGGTGACATACGGGCGGTTCGATAGATTTTCCACTCTTTCTCGGTCTTGCTCTCTGTTCCTTGTTCTTGCATTGTTTCCTTTTTTATTGCTTCTGCCTTTTTTATTCTTTTTACGTTAATCTTTTTCTCTTGCTCTCTTTTCTCTCTCTCTCTCTTTCACTTTCTCTCTCTCTCTTTCTCTCTCTCACTCTCTCTCTCTCTCTCACTCTCTCTCTCTCTGTCTCTCTCTCTCTCTCTCTCACTCACTCTCACTCACTCTCATTCCCTCTCTCTCTCACTCTCTCTCTCTTTCCATCTCTCTCTCTCTCTCCATCTCTCTCTCTCTCTCACTCACTCTCTCTCGTCCCTTCTTTGCTCGTCTCTCCATTCTTTTTTTCCTCATCACTGTCCCAATTCCCATTTCATTTCCTCGGTAT